CAAATGATTTTATAATATCTTAACAAAAAATTCATTGAAATTATGAATTTAATTTGGAAAAAAAAAAATTATGTGAAGATATTCTTATCCAAATTTTGGTCATGACAAACCTCACAGTTTTTGAACATATCATAATATGAATGTAATATATAAATATTTAATATCATATTCATTTTAATAATATGCTTGAAAAAAAAAAAAACTCATTGTAGTAAAAATATTTAGTGGTGAAAATAAACTGTACAAAAAAAAAAAGTAGCTTTGTTATAAAATTGGTTTTGATGTAAAAGTTTGAAAATTTGGGATAGACATAGAGAGACTCGTCAGGAATCTAAGAAAACAATATATGGTGAAAAAAAAAAATAGCTTTTTGTGATATATATATATTATGGAGGGCGAAAGATGTATATAAAAGTTAACCAAAAAACAAGATGGAAGAAGTTAGAATTTAATTCAAGTGAGGTACATTAAGAATTAAGATCAAAAGGGGCTTTTTTAGAATAAGATATTCAATATAAGTTGATGGGATATTTTGATAAACTTTTCAATGAAGATTGTAATATTACAGTTGATTAGTAACCTTAGCACCCTAAATTGAAATAAAATTTTTTTTTTATTTATTTTCATATTAGTACAATTGAAGTTGGGGAAACTTTAAAGAACATAAATTGTGAAAAAGCAATAGGGCTTGATGATTTTCCAATAGAAGTGTGAAAATGCTTAGGAGATTAAGGAATGTCTTGGCTTACTAAACTCTTTAATATTATTTTAAAAACTAAAATAATGTCGATTGTTATTTTTAAGAATAATGGTGATGCACAAGAGTGTGTGAATAATATACAAATTAAGTTAATGTGTCATACATTAAAATTCAGGAGAAAATAATTGAGCATATATTACGATGTGATACTAAAGTTTCTCACAATTAGTTTGGATTCATGCCCGATAGATGTACTATAAAGTTATGCATATGCTAGGAGGTTTAATGGAGAAGTGCAAAGAGAGTAAGGAGGATTTACATATAATATTTATTGATTTTGAGAAAGCATGTAATAAAGTTACAAAATAAGTGCTTCGAAGGGTTTTAGAAGGAAAATGAGATAATATGCTTATTTTCAAGTTGTTAGGGATATGTATACAATAAATACCTAAAATATTTGATTAGAAAGTATTAAAATTATCTTTTTTATTAGATTTAAATAAGAATTTAACTCTAAATATGCCAATATGAAGAAAAATGATAAAGACTTGTTATTGTTGTTGTTGTATCATATTTTCTTAAAAGAAGAGCTTAAAACTTTGAGTCTTATTATGATGTTTTTTTTAATGAAAATATCGATATATGAATTCCGTTATTCAGTTCTTAAAATCTGGCTTCCAAAGCTAAAAATTTACTGTTGAAATGGGATCAACCTGATCCAGAAGCTTCAAACCCTTACTCAAAAACTATTATATGCGATGTAGAACAAAAACAAACAAAAAATAAAATGAAATAAATGTAGAACAAAACAAAAAAAAAAATCTTTTTTTTTTTAGAAAATTGAGGAAAAAGGTTAAATTCCATCATCAATTGGACAACACATCGAATACGGGCCCAACCCTCATTTTCTGATTTTCTTAAAAAAGTTGTTCCAGAAGACTAGCTTTTTTTCAATTTCAAACTTGGTAAGAAAACAAGTTTTATGTGCCAAGTTTGACATCTTTAAAGCCTTTGACATTTGTTGTAAAAATTTCGTTCTTAGCGGCTTCATGCCAAAGTGTTGTTTAACTTGTTTTCTGGTTAGATTAAGACATGCATTGAGAATGTCTTTTTTTATATGTCCAGATGATATTTTAGAGGGGTATTTCAATTCCACTTTGGGCCTTAGGCAAGATTGTCTGTTGTTTCATCATCTATTATGTATAGCTATGGATGGGCCTTTATGCCTTATTCAGTAAGGTTATGTTGGATGACACTTTCTCTAGGATTCAAGTGGTAAACACCTGTATTACTTATCTCCTATATGTTGATGATCTACTTGTCTTTGGCAAAGCTATTGCTGATATTCTTCATGCTTTGAATAGCATTTTTCATGATTTTGGTGATGTTTCTAGAGTTAAAATTAATGCTTCCAAAAGCTCTATTATGTATTCTATGAATCTTGGTAACAATGTTGCTTTTAATGTTATTCTTAATATGCTTGCTGAAGCTTCTATCATGACTTACCTTGGCATTCCCAACAAAAGGCTCAAGATTTTTTATTTTCAAGTTTTAATTAACAAGGTTTCCTCTCCTTTAGAGGATTGAAAAAGTAAATATCTTTCCCTGTTGGCATGGTGCAATACATGGATTCACTATTTTCAATACTATTGCTTATTGGATTAGAGGGCATATTTTACCTAAAACTTGTGTCAAACATATCAACAAACTTTGTGTTAGATTCTTTCATCATAGTGACATTCATACAAGGAAGTTGTTGTGTAGTGGTCTAGTTTTAGATTAGGTTGTTTTTGCATGACATCACATTAGTTTACATGCCTATAAATAGGTATTGAAGGCAAGTGTAAAAGGAACCCACTCTTGTAATAGCTCCAAGCTCATTGCATAAAAGGAATAAGAGATTTATGTAGCTCCATTCTTTCCTCTCTCTCTCTCTCTCTCGCTAGAAGGCTCAAGAAGAGCTTCTTCTTCATCCGATTTTAAACAGAAGCTCCATCTCATATTTTGGAAAAACACATGCTCTCCTAAGCTTAATGGTGGACTTGGTATTCCCTATTTTTTAGACCTCACTTTTCTTACAAAGCATTATTTTGGAGATGTATTTGGCATAATTCTCTCTTTAGTGTTTATTGTAAGTCCAAATACACCTCCTTTTTGGGATGATAGCTTTGGGAAATACTCCAATTGGTGGAAAGTTATTCGTAACACTGTTAATGCCATTTTAAACTTCATTATTAGGCCGACTTATCAATTTTCGTTCTATTGGGATCTGTGGATTAAAGGCCAGTCTATTGCTAGCATGAACGATGGCTCTCTCTTTCTTTCTCATTTTAATTTTGGCAGTTTGGTCTCTGATTATATTATTAATAAGACTTTGCATCTTCCCAAATTTCTGCCTAGGCATATCAGAGGTTCCATCGCTAGTATTCATATTTACTTCACCTCTACTAATTGTCTTGATTGGAAATGCTTATCAAATCATAGCAACAAAACTTTCTTGATTGAGCTAAGCAGTTGTGGCACAAAAAAGGCACTAACTGTGTTTTTCTATTTATGATTAGCTCTTCTTATTGGGTGAGCTGAAAACTTCGAATAATCTCACTAAAAGAAACATTCAGGTGCCTCCTGATTGTGTTTATTTATATGAATTAAAACTGATTTTAAGTTTATTATTTTATTTATTTCGATTATTTTGTTCAATTTGTTTCAATCTCCAGAGTCAGTATCTAAAAAGTTTTGTTCTTATTTTATTCAATAATTATAAAATAAAATTATATTTAAATATCTTTGTTGCGGACTAGAATATACGCGGCGATAGAGTTGGAAAATTTATGTCTCAGCGTTGTACGAATATCTAGAACACAAACAGAGGAGAAATAATAACACCATAATTTTTACATGGAAAATCCTGAAAAGGAAAAAACCCACAGGGCTACGCCCAGTTGAAATAATTGTACTAGTGTTTGCTTGAGATACAAGAAGCTGACTCGTCCGTAAAAGTTATGACGATCAGATTACAATGAATAGCTTCTAAATTGAAATCCAATTACAACGTCGAGCAGAGTTCAGGCATCACTTGGAGATCGAGCAGAATTCTGACGTCGTTCGGAAGTCGAACGAAATTCCAGCATCGTTTGGAAGTCGAGCAGAATTTCGGCGTCATCGGGCAGAATTCCGACTTCGTTTGGAAGTCGGGCAAAATTCCAGCGCCACTCGGACGTCGGGCAGAATTCTGGCGTAACTCGAGAGTCGAGCATAATTCCGGTGGTGGTCGAGGAGGAGTTTCTTCCCTCTTATCATTTTCTTCTTCTTTTTCTTTATTGGGTCCACTTTCAAGAGAAATGAATGATCTATTTATAGATTTTCTGGAGTGACATTGCCTGTAAATAGGCGAGAGATCAGGGGTAACTGGGGAGTGATTGGATGGAACGTCGATATTAAATCCCTTGATCGTGTACCGTTCGTCAGACATTTGAAGGTCTTAATGATTTTGGAATTCGGCGATCTTAGGTTCGTTGGATTCGTCTCGTCGAGCCACTCGATTCGACTATAAGCTCGTCATGTTTGAAAACCGTTTGGTAACTCAAATTGTGGTACAAACTTTCCAACAGTGCTTCGGGTACTTGCTTTGGACTCATTTGGGCTCGAATTGAGTCCAATTTGGTGTTGTTGGGTTCGTATGTCCGAGACGCTCAGTTTGACTATAAGTTTGTTGAAATCGGAGTTTAGGTGACCCCAAATTTAATTTTTGATTTTTTCGGCTTGATTTTGCCTCCAGATTTATGCTGGATCAAGATAATTTTTTGATGATATATCAATCTTAATACAAAATAAATTAAAATATATTTACAAATTATTAAATATATTTTAAAATTAACATCAAACAAATTCTTTATAAACTATATTAATTTTAAAATAAATTTAACAGTTCTCAAACTTATTTTAATAAAATTTAATTCAATAAATATCTTCTTAGTTACCTAATTAAAAAATCAAGTGAAAATTTGATGTCGACGAATGACCCTTATTGCTTAATTATAAATTTTTTTTGTACTTTTTATAATACAATGCCTCCAAAAGTCATATATTTTAATTAGTTTTAAATTATATGAATGTACCGTTATTAAATCGAATAGGAGCAATTAGCAACGCATAAGTTTTGCAGCTCGGTTTGTAAGGAACTAAATATTTCTTTGCTCTTGCTATTTATCCGTTTTTTTTACCGTTAAATTTTTAATAATAATAAAAGATGATACAATAATAATAATAATAATAATAATAATACTAGGTTTTTCTTCCTTCCTTCCCCCGCTATTTTGATGCGTCCCAGTCACAAGGAGAGGAAGCGGCTAGCGTTCACGGGCCACTGCAGCTATATCTATTTCCACATATCGCAGATCTTTGCAAATCCTTCAAACCTTGGAATTCTTTCATACCAAAAATTCCTGTCTCCTTTTCAATCGGCGCGGATTTGGATTTCCCTTGTTGTTGCCAGATAGAAGTTCTCGGAGATCTGCGGCATCTGACAAGGGAGCTCGGCGAGGCAGTGGTCGTATCCAGGTCTGGAAAATTGAGCACTTTGTTGTTCGTGCGGATCTGATCTGGTTCTGTAAGATATGATTCGTATGCAGACAAAGTTTCCGGAGGCGGTGGCGTTTGTGGATGTGAAAGATTCTCCGGCGGTGATTCCGGTGGAGGAGCCGGCAAAGTGGGAGGTTCGGCCATGTGGAATGCTGGTGCAGAAACGGAGCTCGGACGATGGCCGAGCTACGGTACCCGTGCCGGCCATTCGTCTGCGTGTGAAGCACGGCTCCAACTACCATGAGGTCTACATCAATTCACAGGCCACCTTCGGTAATTGTTTGTATTCAGTTTTCCATTAACAGGGATTGGAAAATTTTCGATTTTTTTTTTTTTTTTGGGTTTTTTCTGTGGGGGCATTGAGATTTTGGAGCTAACGGGTTTAGTTTGGTTTGGTTTGGGGGAGCAGGGGAGTTGAGAAAGCTGCTTTCAGAGCGAACGGCGCTGCATCCCCAGGACCAGAAGATATTTTTCAAGGACAAGGAGCGCGACTCAGCCGCCTACCTCGATACGTCGGGAGTGAAGGACCGGTCGAAGCTTGTCGTCGTCGAAGACCCGGCGGCGAAGGCCAAACGGGTGCTGGAAATGCGCCGCGCTGCGAAGTTAGAGAAGGCTGCCAAATCCATCTCCCAGATCAGTCTCGAAGTTGATGAGCTTGCATCCCAGGTTGGTCATTTCGTCGAACACCTCATGTGTGCATTCTTTCATTATCCCAATTAGGCTGGGCCTTCACATCTAGTTACAGGTGTCGGCGCTGGAAGGTGTGATTTTGAAAGGAGGGAAAGTGGCGGATAACGAAGTTCTAAGACTCACTGAGCTCTTGATGAACGAGCTGATCAAATTGGAAGGTGTCCTAGCCGATGGTGATGTCAAGTTGCAGAGAAGACTGCAGGTATCACTTCAAAATCTGTTCTTTGGACGAATTCGCAAAAGTTCGTTTTATTGTTCATCTCCAATAGCTCTTTGGTTCTTCCTGGTTTTTATTAGGTTAAGAGAGTTCAGAAATACGTCGAAATGCTGGACGTTCTCAAGCTTAAGAACGTGATTCCCAAATCGGCGGCCCCGCCGCCGCCGCCACAACATCAAAAGAAGGTGCCGCCGTCATCCCCAAAGCCAAAGTCGGTGATTGTAACAACAAAATGGGAAACTTTCGACTCCCTCTTCTCTCCCCTCGCCTCTCCATCTTCTTTGGCCACCACCACCACCTCTGTTGCGCCGACCCCAAGATTTGAGTGGGAGCTATTCTGATTGCAGGATAGATTTGTACTTAATTTGAAATTTGCATGGGTACTTTCCTCCGGCGGCCAGCTATGAATTCAGGTGAGTAGAACATAGATGGGCTTTGGCCGTCGCTCATGATTGCGCTTCTCTGATTTCATCTTTGTTCTATCTCATCTCTTTCACCTTTTTTTTTCCCCTCTGTTAAAACCAGTGTTTTTATTCTTTTACATATATGAATGTGTAGATCTTGAAATGGGCCTGAGGCTATATTAGTATTTGGGATCAACGCCATGAAATAATAAATTGTGTTTACATATTATGAATGGTTCACTAGTGGGGCTAATTATCATTGTTCTTTTCTCTTATGATTGAAAATCTCTCTCTCTCTGTGTTCTTTTTGCTTGTTATGGTAGTAGTTGCACTAAATTGGGTTAGGTGTGTTAACTACTTTTGTAAACTAAAATTCACCAAACCACCAGATTGCAACCATATGGAGTGGAATGAAAGTTTGGACTATCTTTAGCTTTACAGATGGTTATACTTTGCTTCTTATTCTTCCATGCGGTGTGGGTGGAAATTAGGTTATGGAATTTGAGTACAGTTCCAATGGACCCCTCTTGCCTTCAACTTAACTCATTATAGTAAAAAAAAAGCTGTGTTCCTAGAGGAATGTGTGGTAGGGGAATTTATTCAAGTGTGATGCATGGATCAAATTAGACCACCAAAGTTGTGCTCTTACAATTGGAGAGCTCATGATGCTCACATTTTGAAATGATTGATGTGAGGGCATCACCAACCAAAAAACCCATTTTCCAATCTTAAATGAAGTAAAACTTCAAAATGGCGTAATTCATCTCCAATCGAACTTCATTTCTCTCCTCTTTCGCGCGCTTCCTGCGAATGTAACCATCTCTCTTCTCTTTCGCGTGCTTTTCTCTTCTTTTGCACTCTTCTTCAGCAAAATTCGCAAAGCATTTTTTTGGCATAGGTGAACAGTGGCGTCGCATTGTTCACTGAACGAATTTTGGCGTGAGATTTGTAATTCGAATGGAGCGAATGATGGACGACATATGGTGGTATGCAATTCGGTTGGAGATGGTCTTGGCCGTTAAAAATAAAAGGATTTACATACATACTATAAAATTATTATATTATGTTTACTTAAATAACCTAAGAGGCTGTTTGGTAGCAGGATTTGGGCCGGATTTGAGCGAAATCCAGCCAAATGGCCTAAAATGCAAAACCAAATCTATCGGCAAATGAAAGCCGCCGTAGACGGAAAATTCCACCTTTTCATGCTAAATCCATGATTTCGAAAATCCTGTTTTTGGTCGGATTTTCGAAATCCGTTGGCTCAAGAGGAAGAGTCGGCTCGTTAAATCCGTTCTATAGCCAAACGGTCCCACGGGATTTAATAGAATTTCAAGTAGTTTTCAGGATTTAGGCCCCTCAGGATTTCCGAAATCCGGATTTAACAGATTTACGAAATTCTACTTAAATCAAATCCTGGGTGCTACCAAACAGCCATTAAATCTTAATATCATCACATCTAAAATCCCAGAAATATTTACAAGAGGGCTGAGCTGTTCTTTCACAAGTCCTACTTAATTCCCTCTCTCTCAAAGCCAATTGGAAGCTAATATGGTAGGTGGCCTGGCTGGCTGCTGGCCTTGAGTCCCTGTCGTAAATGACTTGTATTTCCTCTGTCACCAGATATTTAAGCTTCGGCTGACTATGGCTGGAGTCGTCGGTGCACCAATGTGGCTGTCTGGGTTCCACATTTGAAGCTAAAATATGTATAAAAAAATCTCTTATTGCATTTTGTGATGAAATTGTAAGAGATTTATAATGAAGGCTAACCACCACATGGATCAGTGGAGTTATAAATTATATTTTGTGTTCTTTTTAATGTGTTATGAGTGTTTAATTTGATGAGCATGTTCTGACTATTTTTTTAGTTTATTTATTGCAGAGTTTGGTAACCATTCTGAACAGAGTTTGGCAAAATTATTTTTGATTTGAATAAATAATGCTTCTAAATTCCATTTTGGGCAACATCTAACAACTCTTATGATGATGTGATTTATAAATTTTTTATTTGTTTTGCTTATAGTGATGCAGAAGATTGTACTAAGCTAGTAAATATAATGAATTTGATAAGTTTTGTTGTTATGACAAGCTTTAGTTTTTTATTCTTCTAGTTCTATATATATAATTGCATAAGATAAAATGTCAAAAGCCCTTGTGTTTCATCATATGCTATGAGCATGATTTCTGAATATATTTAGTTCTCCTGAAAAAAGATTTGCACAACATGAACATCAATTCTTTATCCCATTGCATCCTATTGAATGAGGTCGGCTATATAAATCTTTTTTCTCTTTCGTATCTTGTTAAGAGTTGATATATCATCAAAAAATTATCTTGATCAGACACGAATCTCGAGGCAAAATCAAGTTGGAAATTTCCAAAATTAAATTTGAAGTCATATGAACTCCGATTTCAGCAAACTTATAGTCGAATTGAACGTCTCGAAAAGTTAAACCCAACGACACAAAATTCGACTCAATCCGAGCCCAAATGAGTCTAAATCGAAGATCCGAACTGCATTTGGAAGGTTCAAACCATAAATTGGATGACCAAACGGTTTCCAAACGTGGCATGCTTATAGTCGAATTAAGCAGCTCAACAAGACGAATCCAACGAGCCCAAGATCATCTAATTCTGACATCATTAGATCACTCAAATATTGAATTAATTGTCCATGATCAAGGGGATAAACATCGGCCATCCATTCAAACCACTCCCAACTTGCCCTTGATCTCTCTCCTATTTACTGGCCTTGACACTATCATAAAACTATAAATAAATCTCTCATGCTTTCTTGGGAAAGGGAGGGAGGAGGGAACCCAAGCATGGAAAAGAAGGAAGAAGAGAAATAGATTTTTTTTGCCACCAATTTCTCCTCGACCATCGCCGAACTTCGGCCCGGCCACTAACTGACATTAGATTTCCGCCCAACCATCGATTGATGTCAAACTTACACCCAGCCTCCAACTAACGCTAAACTTTTGCTCGGCCACCAAATAAATTCAAACTTCTATTTGGCCACCAACTAATGTTGGACTTCCACCCGACTTCCAATTATTGTTGGACTTCCACCTGACAACGGTCTTTACGACCTCTGTCGCCCGCCGACTACGATATTTCATACCACCGTCACCTAACTACGGTCTTTCCGACCTTCATCGCCTGCCGACTACAGTCCTTCTAACCCATGCCGCCAACAGTCTTTATGACCTCCGTCGCCCTCCAACAACGGTCTTTCCGACTACCATCAACCGACTACGATTTTTCCGACCTTCATCGCCCACCGACTACATCCCTTCCAATCTCCAAAGCCAAACAACAGTCTTTATTATAGTCCTTCCGACCATCGTCACCCGAATACGGACCTTCCTACCACCGTCGCCAGCCGACTATGGTCTTGCCAACCAAACGACGCATCAATTCTGATTCTTCAAATTTTCACCATACAATGCACTATGTATGATATGTATTTGCAACATCACACCAAGACCTTCCCACCAAGTAAGAGCCTCATTTGTAATTGATTGCAAACACTTGTGGATTCATTCAAATTGGGCAGCCAAGCCCCATGGTTTTCCCCCATTTCAGGGATTTTTCACATAAAAAACTTTGGTATCACTTATAAACGCTACACCCTCTCTCTTATCTGATTGTATGCTAGATCTTCGTACAAAACTAAGTCTTAAAACTATATATTTCTCTACCGCCGCGGATATTCCATGACGCAACAAGAGTAAAATCTTCCTTAAAATCTAATAAGAAAATGTAATTTGGAGTTATTTCTTATCAAAATTTTTAAGGTTTATCTCTATTTTTCTTAACTTCTAGCCGGGTAATCGACAGAAGATTCAATTACTTCTCAGCTTAGTGTAGCAGGTTTTGAAGATGACAAAGCTTTCATGATAATATGCTTAACTACATAGAGAATTTCTGAAAGAAGTTTTGATCCTTTACATTTAGATCTTTTATTTGGGATAATTTTTTTATTTTAAAGCTTTTTTATCTCAAAATTTCTTTTTAAAAAAAATTTAAAAATAATAAAAAGCTGTCTGATTGGAAGCCTTAGTAACATTTATTGTTGAGGCATATATAGTTGTCTTATTCAAATTAACTGGCAGCGGCCTAATAGAGTGGTTGACCTGTGCCGACTGCAGCTCTGTGGTGGAGAATCTGACGTGGCTTTATGTGATTTGTTTGGCGGTGTGATTAATAGACATGGATAAGACAGATATGGTATTGTAATTTTTATATTTTAAAAATATAATAAAAAAAACAAATAACAGAGTATTAAGGATATAAATAATAATATATCATTTAATTAGAATTTGTATTTGAAATGATTAAGATTAAAATATTAATAATTAGGCATCCTTATCTTGTTTAGATGATGGTGCTGTTCAAAATCAGGCTCTCATGTAATGTATGTGAGAAATTATTCAGTATGGAGTTTTCATGAGTGTATATATTATGTATATGTTGTGTATTTTTATTTTTATATATAGTGTGTATATAATATGCATTATTATATACACTCTGTATCCAGACTCCACATAAAATAATTTATTCACGTATTGGAGAAATTATTCTATATGGAGTTCAGATGCGGAGTTGCGTCCGAATTGTGAGTATATACAGTGTGTATATATTGTGTATTTTTATTTTTATATATAATGTGTACAAAATATATACATATTATGTATATTCTGTCTTCGGACTCCGCACAGAATAATTTCTTTATATATCAGGCACTGGACGCCCATGTCAAGATGATGATGGCCGTCTATTTTGAGATAACTCATAATGCTCATGGATGTGAATGTGAGTATAGAATTTACATGCAGTTCACCTTGACTTATTTGTTGGGGGTTTTGACTATCAATCAAAATATTTTAAGTTCAAAAATTGAATTAATTTGTCTTAATGACTCAAATATTATTAAAATAATAATAATAATAACTAACAAAGTATTAATGACAAGACAATTTTGGATGAACCTCCACAAAGAAAAAGAAGGAAAAGAAAATTAGGCCTGATAGATCGGGATGTTAAAGAGTTATGTATTGATATGGTCGATTAGTAATTTTACTGTACTTCGAGATTTATGTTATATTTACTTTGATTTTTCTTGCAAGAACCTGATGGAGTGGAGCAATTATTACGTCCGGTCACCGAATGCATTCAAAGATCAATAATCACGCGCCATGTCACCTAAAACTCGGTATTACTCGG